GGAGCAGAAGGCACAGATTCCACCCTCCCAGGCCAAAATAACACTCCAAGCCATCAAGACAAAACATTTCCTCACAAACTGACCAAATATTCTCCAGGAATTACTGCAAACAGACACTCGCTGTCACGGCAGGTTTTTTGCAGTTATGTTTAAAATGCCTTTAACCACTTCTCCAGGAGGCATCCAAAGCATCTCCTGTGAGACAGACATTGGAACATGGCAAAGCCAAACAAAGCCCATTTGCCACCACAAAAAAACCCTTAAAATGTATTTATTTTCTTCAATATTGCCCTGATCTGCAATGTATTCAGTTGACTTTCAAGGAGCACTTTTGTTCCCTGAAATCCAGGGTTTCTCCTGGACTTGGTTGCCACTGTGAATGTCTTAATTCTCCCCCAGCACAGGAGATTGCACACAACAGTCACATGGGCCATCATTAAGAGGCTTTTACTCCTCTTTGCCCTTTAAAACACCAGTAAATGGACAAAGCCATGTTCTTTCAGATAACTGGAAGAAAACATAGAGAGGAAAAAAAACATGGAAGGGCAGCACTTGTGTTGGGGACAACTGTTACTATATTTAGTTGCCTTGTTCTGCAAGCTGCTGAGCATCTGTTTCAGGGATGGTGAACAACGGGTTTTTTCCAGCATTAATTAGGTGAACCCAAACCACTGCTCCCACCATTTCCCCAAGCTCACATCTCCCAGATCATAACTCAGATTTGCTACTTATTCCACCTGAACAGTGGATCTCCAATCCTGGCACTGGCTGTGTTTCTATTTCAGGGTGCCTTAATAGCTCAGTTGAAAGGAAATACAGAGTATTGGGTTTTGAAAAGGGAGTATTTGGGTAAGAAACTGAAAAGCAATGTCAATGTATTTAAATGCACGGAGAATCTCTCCTTTGCAATCCCCTTTAATACCAAGGAAACAGATTTTTAAAAGGGCTTCTGAGGAGAAAAACAGCACTGCTCATGTAAGCCAGTGCTTCTTGAGACCAGCTTCAGTATTCTCTAATTTGAGAGAAGAATTCACAGCAGGGAGTGTTATTTCCATTCACCTCAGTAAACTAAACAAACCAATCAGGAGCGTTTGGGGGAAAAGAATAAAAACATGTATTTCTTCGAAATTCTTCATTCATTTCTTTATAGAATTCCTTGCGAGACTGCAAATCCCAGCCAGGTTCCCACAGCCGGTGGCTAAGTGGAGGGGGGGAGGAGAGGCAGCAAACCCTCCATACTCCTGCTGAGCTGCAAGTTTGAGGAGTTTTCCCTGAATTTTTGCTTCTCTGGAAAACAAGATGGTTGTTTCTCAAACAGGCACCGTGCAACAGCCCAGCCAGCGGGCTCCCATCTGCGAAGGACAGTATTTCCCCAGCCCAGTGGAAAAACAAACACTCAGTGAGCCGCTCGGAGGCTCGGGGGGAAGGTGAGGCGATTCCCGGCCGAGGTTTGGGGCGGTTTTCCCCCAAAGCTCGCCCCGCTCCCGTGGCTCCCGTGGCTCCACGGCTCAGCCTCCTCCTTCGCCCTATTCCCAGCTGGGGGATGGGTGGGAACCGGGCTCTGCCAAGCCCCGCTCCCTCCCCAAAGACTTTCCCTCCCGATACAGCGTCCTTTCCAAAGAGAGAACCTTCCCCTTGCCACCTCCAGGGCCGGGCAGCCTTTTCCCTTCGCTGTGCAAGGAGAATCCCCCCGTGCTGTGAGCGCCTTGTGCAGCGCCTGTCCCTTCCCCCAGGCGAGCACGGGCATACAAAGGAAGCCTTGCTCCATTGTCCACCTACAGCACCTACACACCGAGCCTCGCTCAGCCCCTCGCCCCTTTTCCAGCCACAAACATCCCGGTGGGTGCATCCCAGCAGCATTCGGAGGCGGCGTTGTCATTGCCTCCCCCTGCTTCGGTACCTGCAGCCAAAGGGCTGGAGCGTGTTTTAACTGTTTACTGCCGTGGGATCGGCCCCGTCCAAACACACAAATCCCAGGGAGAAATGCCTGGCTACAAAGCTCCCTCCCAAACCTCCGATCGCGATTTGCCGAGGTAAAAACAACCAAAAAAAGGTAATGAATTCAGCGCCTGCCATTTTTCCCATCCATCTCCAAGCAACAGTACCATGGCAACTTTTTCCCTCCTTTAATACATCTTATAAAAGGAGGAGGACTGGACAAAATAAAACCGAGGAATGTCAGATTTGCACCGTGGAGCGCCTGTTCCCTCAGCTAGTTATGGCTGGAATTAACCAAATAACTCCAGAGCGAGCCTTTTCCCCCCAAAACCTGGCTTTGTAAACAGCACTGGGTCACATAACCAGGACTTGAGGGACACGACAAACCACCCTGAATACACATCCACCATCCCGCGCCTTCACCGAGCGGCGAATTCTTGGCTCAGGGGGATAACAAAGGTGAAAAAAGGTGAAGCTTGATTAAAACAGGGCCATTTCAGAGCGATGAGGATGCAGAGATGGGTTTTGGCTGCTGCAGCAGCTGAGGCCAGGAGGATGGAGGGGGATGCGAGACCCCCAGTCCTTCCATCCACAACAGACGACCAGAAACCAGGGAAGAAGCGCTGGGACCTTCCTTTCTCCCCCTCGGTGTCACCGCATCTATTTTTCCCATGGTGACTCATTATTAAGGACGCTCCGTCATTTTTCCAGCACAGGAAGATTAAAGGAAGCTTCAAAATCCATTTTTTTTCTGCTGCTGGTGGGATTAAAGCAAAGCGCCTGGAGGGGCCATGAGCTGAGCAGGGCTCGTTACTCTCTTTTTCTTCCTAAAAACCAGCTTCCAGCGTAGGGTGTACCAACTCGAGAGCATTTCCACAGGAAAAAGGTGTTGCTGAGGCGGTGGGGAAGAAGTCCCTTCCTCCTCCTCCTCGCAGGGAAAGACGGAGGGAGGAGGGAAAAAACCCAACCATGCAAACAGCTACTACTTCCTTATGAGCGGGATTAACCTATGCAATAAAAAAAAAAAAAAAAGGAAAAAAACAACCCAGCACGATATAAGGAGTCCAGAGTGCTTCCCGCGTGCAGGATCCCGTGTTTTCTCCGTGGGTTTGTGTGATTTTTTTTCCCCCAGAGTCACGTTTTCGCAGCTGCAGGCGCTTCGGTTCCCACAGCTCGCCGCACCTCGGGGGGACACGCAGCATCCTCCACAGCTCCAGGTGGGAGGGAAACGCAGTGAAATAGGCGAAAATAAATAGAAAACAAGTCCGAGCGTTGAATAATTTTGGAAACAAAAAAAAAAAAAAAGGAATGGAAAACAAGTCGGCCAGGCTCAGCGCTGCCTCTCGACATCCTCGGCATGGGAGCCGCTCCGTGCCGACCTCCGAGCCCCGCTCGCTGCTGCTCCGTCGTTTCGGGTCCATTTTTAGCCATTTTTGTATTTCCCCGCTCCGGCCGCGCCGCCGATCCCGCCATGGCGCGGGTTATTTACAGCGCTGTTTTCCTCCTCCTCTCCACGGGAACCGCCGTCCCCGCGCACTCCTCCCCCCCTTTCCCACGTTTTTCCCCTCGTTTTTCCCCACACCGCGGGTCGGGCCGGACGGGGCCCCGTCGCCGCTCGCCACTCACCGCTTGAA